GTGTACAACATTCTGGGACGTCACCAGTTGTTTCCACCGAACATGAAGCCACGACAAATTCTCATGATTCAATGATGGTGTAATTTCTGGTGCCTCCACGTCGCACGAGAATGAGAGTGAGTCGGCAATCTCCACACGTGAAAATTCCTCACTGATGACTCGACAGGGGACACGAGCACGTAAGGTCCCAGCATGGCATAGAGACTATGAAATCCGACTCAATAATGTGAAAATAAACTCTCCCCCCGCCGCGCGCACGCTTGCATCGGTTTCCTCAGGTAATCCGTATCCCTTATCTCATTTTGTAAATTATAATCATTTTTCGGTGGAGCATCGTGCTTTTCTTGCAGCATTATCTGCCAATAAAGAACCATCTACTTATCATGAGGCAGTCCAAGATCCCAAGTGGAGGGAAGCCATGCAACGTGAAATACAAGCACTTGAACGAACTGGTACGTGGGAACTTCAGCCTCTCCCTCCGGGTAAGAAAGCCATTTATTGTAAATGGGTATTCAAAATTAAATATAAATCTGATGGGACTGTCGATAGATACAAGGCGCGATTGGTGGTGTGTGGCAATAGACAGGTGGCGGGAATTGACTACACTGAGACTTTTGCACCGGTGGCCAAAATGGTCACTGTGCGAACTATTCTGGCTGTTGCTGCTTCTTGTCATTGGGAGTTGCACCAGATGGATGTCGATAATGCTTTTTTGCATGGAGATCTTAGGGAGGAGGTCTACATGCATTTACCTCCGGGCTATACAACTTCATCTTCCGGCACGGTGTGCCGTCTTCTTCGGTCACTTTATGGGCTTCGTCAGGCTCCGCGGTGCTGGTTCTCAAAATTAACCGGGTTCTTAAAATCATATGGGTTTCAGCAGTCACATGCTGATTATTCTTTATTCACTTTACGAAGGGACGATCATATCTTGTGTGTTTTAGTTTATGTTGATGATCTTCTCATTACAGGAAATCATCATCAAATGATCACGGATTTCAAATCTGGTTTGGGGAAATCTTTCCCTGTTAAAGATTTGGGCAAAATGAAATATTTTCTTGGCTTAGAAATTGCACGAAATTCTTCAGGTATTTTCTTATGCCAACGGAAATATACTTTGGATATTTTAGCTGAGACGGGTTTGATTGGAGCCAAACCAGTCACTTTTCCTATGATCCAGAATCATGGTATACAGTCAGACACCGGACCATACTATCCTGATGCGGAACGCTACCGACGTTTAGTGGGAAAATTAATCTATCTTACTCTCACTCGGCCAGACATTAACTATTCGGTGCATGTTCTTTCCCAATTTATGCAGCAGCCGCGCATGGTGCATTGGGATGCAGTTATACGTGTTTTACGTTATCTTAAAGGGCATCCCGGACAGGGTATTTTATTACGGTCTGATTCAGCTCTTTCCCTTACTGGGTATTGTGATTCTGATTGGGCTAGTTGTCCAATAACACGTCGTTCTCTTACGGGATACTTCGTGATGCTTGGACATTCTCCTATTTCTTGGCGCACCAAAAAGCAAGTAACCGTTTCCCGTTCCTCCGCTGAAGCAGAATACAGATCCATGGCCACGCTTACGTGTGAGCTCATTTGGCTCAAAAATCTGTTATCATCTTTGGGAGTTTCACACTCCTCTCCTATACGTCTCTTCTGTGACAATCAAGCTGCACTGCATATCGCATCAAATCCAGTTTTTCATGAACGAAGGAAGCATATAGAACTTGATTGTCGCTTTGTTCGTGATCATATTCAGGCGGGGACTATTCGTGCTCTCCACAAATCTACTACTGAACAACCGGCCGATCTTCTAACTAAAGCTCTGGGTGCTCAACCGTTTCATTATCTTCTTAGCAAGATGGGCATTTTGGACCCCCATGCTCCATCTTGAGGGGGTGTTGAGGTGTACAATATTTTGTACGATATTTTTTGGTCACGTATGCCTTTCAGGGAAGAGTCACACGCATGCAGAACTCTTATTTTGATTAACTTTTCATAGATTATTTTTTTTGTAATTATTGTTGTATTTATCATCTCCTATTTGATAGCTAATGATTAGCTGGTAGTTCCACGTTTTGCAAATTGTATATATAGCCGATTGGCTCTTGTGAATAAAGCAGATGATTCACGATCAGATTACTCTCCCATATTAATTTAATATGGTATCAGAGCCAAATCGATCCATGGTGTGGGGCCCCTTATGAAAAATGACGACACGATAAAAAAAATGACGAACCGATGAAAAAATGAATGACGACACGATCCAGACGAAGTGTCTGGTCGTGAGGAGGGGTGTTAAATGACCCACACCAGAAAATTGAGAAGCACTAGAGTGCTATATTAAGCTTCGGGCTACTCCTCCTAACAGGTTGACCTTTTAGGATGGAACCCCGGGTCTTAACACACTGCATTGAATGCGGTGTCACGTCCAACCACCGCATTTAATGCGGTGCCACATGCAATGTCGGCGCCAGCGCGGCTGGAGTGACCCCTCACCGTTGATTAGTTGACACGTGTACTCGCATTTAATGCGCCTAGCGCTTATGGCTGCTATAAATAGCGCCTCCTTTCCCATTGTAAAGGCATCCCATCCCGAGTTCATTAATATATCTGACTCTCTCTCTTACTTGCTTGCTCTAACTTCTCTCTAAGTTATTTCTCGTAATAACCCTTCGGAAAAGCTACCCCCGGATACACTATCAATCACATATAAACAGTCATAATTACTTGTTGTCGATTGGAAATTGAAATTGTGGCAAATAAACATATATAAACGGTATACCGATGATTTCGGGATTGACACAGATTGAGTGATGATTTAGTGTCAAATAGCTCGTGTCAAAATGTTTTTGGCATGGATTTGGCGTATCTCTGCCAAATTCTCTATGAATTGATTTTGGGCGAATCCTTATCAAAAACTTCGTCAATCCCGTGTTTTTTTTTTTGTCATCAAACTCATATGTAGCTTATATTTTAAGACGGAGCAGTATTATTTTTACTAGTGGGACATTATATACATTCAATGTCAATATTGTATGTGTATATATGTCAATATGAAATTGAAATTGATACAAAGTAAATAAGATATGATGTATATTTACGAGAGAACAATACTGGTACAACATATGTAGTTCAGCTGGGGGGGGGGGGGGGGCTAGCTGGAATGTTTCACTAGGCAGAAGGGACTCAACGACGGCAAGTCAAGCAGCTGCTAATAGCAATATTCCGGCACCGACACTGTCTCTCAATCAGCTCCAATCTCTCTTCTCCAAAAAGGGCTTCACCACCAGGGATTTGGTTGCACTCTCAGGTTCTTCTTTTTATCTTCCATTGCATTTTCTCTGTACGTTTTTGTGGAAATTTCAAACCTCACAAATGTATTAAGACTTGGAGAAATTGTATGCTGCCCATTTGAAATAGGAACGTAACACTTTGAGTAGAGAGTATCACTAAATGATTCAAATCGTGAGCAACAATATTACTTAATGAACGTCAAAACAATGGAAAATGCTTAGTCTACATGAGTTGTACACAAGTTGTATACAAAGGAGCAGCACTTGATGTCAAATTATCTGTGTACATAGACAATGTACACATTTTGTGCACTTGTGTACACCAAGAATGGTCCCAAAACAATTGACAATAATATGGCTCGTATACCATATTAACATTAATTAATTAGGTTTTACCAACAAAAAAAACTCATATACAAAAGGTTTTGTACATTTCTATACTGTATGAAATACTTTGTATCATTAGTGTCATGCGCTCAAAACACAGTTACACCTCACTCTAAAAGAAAGGTTTTGTACGTTTCTATACTTTGTATCATTAATGTCATGCGCTCAAAACACTGTTACACCTCACTCTAAAAAAGAGTTTTTTACAAGAATATTACTAAAATAAAACTTATTTACATAAATATGACTATTCATTACTACAACGTAACGTAGTGTTGTGGTAACTAAAAGTTTAAAATTTGAATATGAATTACTATGATTTCATTACTACTCTAGCAACTAATCATATTTTTGTAAACCATCTTTATTTTGATCATATTTATGTAATTATTTCCTAAAACAATGTCAAAAATTGAGTTTCATTGAGCGATATTGACATGATAGGAAGAGTGTAGCTCAAATTGCTATAATGCTATGTATCCCGTCCCTTCTTAATAAACTTTCATTTCTTTTTAGTCCGTCTCAATTAAACTTTCATTTCTTTTTTTGGTAAGGAATATGTGTGATTCACAAAATTTCTTACACAATTTTCTTTCCTATACACAATTCTTGACGACACAACACTCACTATCCTAATTCCTGTGTCATTTGTTATAGACGGCGAGAGTATTACCTTAATATTTTTAAGAATTTTAATTTTATTAAACATATCTAACATGTACTCAAGTGTTTCGCCTATATAAAGTGTGACAAAGAGGTTACAAATTATGTTTTGAGAACTGTCACTTGTCTAAATAATAAGGGAAGACTTGTCCCTGAGACAATCTTATGCTAGAAACTTCTGCTCCGGCCCACCCAAATTTTCAATTTTTTTTCTAAATTTTTAAGGTAATTAAAAAGTATTGTATAAAAAAATTCAAAAAATATTAGCTCACCCAAATACATAAAAATGGTGTTTGTGCGGATGTCTTTATATGGAGAACAATTTCTTTAAGCACTTCAATAATTTTTACTTTTGTTTGTAAGAGGTCACACGATAGAAAAGGCGACGTGCACCACATTTCGCAACCCGATCTACAACGACAAAGATATCAATGGCGCATTCGCAACATCATTACAATCCAAATGCCCCAAGAGTGGAGGTGACAACAATCTCGTCCAAATGGACCCCACTCCCACCTCGTTTGACACGGCTTACTTCACGGATTTGCAAAGCCAGAAGGGATTGTTCCACCAAAAAGTCTTGGTGTACACCCTGGGTTACACTCTGGGGTACACCATATATAAACTCATTTTAAAATTTTACCCCATCTCCCAAAAAAAAAAAACCTCCTCTGCAATTCTTCTTTCCGCTTTCCCACTTTCCCACTCACTTCTTCTCCTCCCCCACAACCGGTTTTATTTTCAAAACTCTTCCGAGCCATCATCTTCCGCTGAACTTCTCAACCCACCTTCAGAAGACGACCGTATCTCGTGAACCACCCCCGGCTAGAAGCGCAGTAGAGGGTCGAAGCACAGCGAAGGTTGGCGAGGTCAAGGTCAAGGTCGTGACGGCGGAAGCACGAGTTTCAGATGGTGGAAGCACAACGACTTTCAGAAATGGTGCGGACAAAAGTCTCCGACCTCAACGAAGGGTAAACCTCGATTTTTTCCATTTGTAGTTTGATTTCTTGAATAACAAAAAAATTGATGGATTTCTAGAGTTTGATTTATTGTTTTGAAAGTTATAAATCAATGTTCCCTAGCAGGTAATATTACACCATATTTCTTTGAAAGTTATATTTCAAGAAATATTAACTGGGCTTTCATTTTTACAAGCATTTTATCAGTTATAAAACTCGAAACAATATGGTGTAATATTACTTTCAGTTAATATAAATCAAGAAGCTCACCAAACCAATAACAATGCTTGGGAACCTTTCAGTTAATATAAAACAATACTTGTTTTCATGTCCAATTACTTCTTTTCTTGTGTTACTTGTTAAAGTTTTGAGTCCTTAATACTCAATTAATCTACCAACATCAAGGATTGTTGACCAGTGCTTGGGAACATTGCTTTCTACCGTGTTCCTTTACTGATTTGGATTCAATTTGATTCATATGCGTGTGAGTTTTTTAGCTCAGTTTTCTTTGTTTGTCATATACTGATTTCTGTCATGTGTTCTGCTAGATTTTTAGTGCAGTTGGTTCATCATGAATTGGTGAAGTGTGACTTCCAATTGCAGTGTTTGTGTCACCTTAGGGTTTTAATTTTTTGTTTTTGTAGGCTTATATTTTAGTTTAATAAAATCAATTTGATTTTGTGTTGGAAAAGTCATGTGCACTTAGTTTAAGAATTTTACTGAAGATTTTTGCTAAATACTAAGTAAATCGGATGTTGGCATCATGGAAGTGCAGGTCCCAGGGCTTTGGTGGCAGAACTGGTTGACACCAGTTGAAACGAATTCCACCTTGTAGTCTTGTAGAGGTTATTGTGACGTGCACTTGTCGTGAGGTGCACTCAAAATAAATATCAATACGACACTAATACGTAGTATAGCGAAGTAAGGTTTGTATCCACATGGAAAGGAATATTTCTCTTTTTAATTAACTAGTAATAAAGGGGGGTTTTTAGATTTGATTTGATTTAATTAACACTAAGATGAATGACTTAAATGAGTTTAATTAATGAGAAGAAGACTTGGCTTTGCTTTTATCCACTTAATGAAATGTTCGTCGATCCCGGTTATATCTTTAACTATCTTCCTCTCGAATACTCAATCGAAGAGTATATCCAGTTCATCGAGGGTAGTTATTAATAACGAGAAGCGTTCATTAATAAAACTTACTATCGAGTCAATATAGAACAAGCGCAGTATATTAACTTGATAGTAGCAATAAACTTAAGATGAAAACGATTGAGATTGATAACCTCAACACAAGCGGTTTATTGGTTTAATCAATATAATTAATTCCCCTTAGATTATTAACCATGAGATGCATGCATTAATAATCCAAGTTTACTACCATGAAAGGGCCGAATTAATAACAAGCGTATTAATCGACCGATTCTAGTATTAATTAATATATGAAACAAAACTAGTCGATCCTTTAAGTAATGTTCAAAATATTAATATGAAATATGAATAGGAATTAATTAATACTCAAGAGAGAATATTAAAGAAGATGAATCCTACTATAGTTAATATCAAGATGTTAACTAATTGTCATCTTAGTAACACTCCCCAATATTAACGTAGAGGAAGAAATAATTATTACTATAACTAATGTCAAGATGTTAACTAATTGTCATCTTAGTAACACTCCCCAACATTGATATAGAAATAGTATTTAAAGGAAGAATTAATATTCAAGGAAGAAGATTAAAGAGAATAACTCACAACTTACAAATTCATTAAGCTTCAAAGTAGCAAAACCAAGATGGAAGAGTTTAGCTCCTCATTTGGAGACTAAACATGATAGAAAATATAAAGAAAACACTAATCTAAACTGAGCTAAAGAGTATATGTGAATTGGTGATTTTATTGTGAAGGAAAAGGGTGTATTTATAGGCTTTTGGGAGCTGCAGGGTCTGATACCCGATCGGGTATATAGGATACCCGATCGGGTATCTTAGGAAATTGCCTAGAAAGTCACTTTTCTGGGCATACCCGATCGGGTATGTCGGCATACCCGATCGGGTATGTGACAAATCTTCAGGAAAATTTGCTCCCACGATCATTTGTTCCCGGATTTGATTTGGACAATCGAATCAAGTGAATACCCGATCGGGTATAGGCAATACCCGACCGGGTACATGAGTATTTTTTCCAAATCAAAATCTTTCTTGTCTCCTTGCACTTTCCTTGATCTTTTAAGGTCCAATCTTGATCCCTTCGATGATCTTTGACCTGTTTAGCTCAGAATAATCCTAATCTAAACAAATTACAAATAAAAATGAAAATAAAATATTACACCAAAAGTGTGTAATTTCCACAACTACAACTAATAAAAACTAGTTAAAAATACAAACATACAATCGGAAATTACATGAATATCAACTCCCCCACACTTAGCTTCTTTACTCGTCCTCGAGTAAAGTCAAATGTTTAACACTTCCAAATCCTCAAAAGTTCAACAATCAACAAGAAAAAGCAAAAGACCACCAAGGATAAAACATTATTTTTTTTACATTGAGTTTTTAGCTCAATAAAAAAAATAACATCTTCTTGGGTTTTATGGCCTTCTATGCTCATTTTTTTCTTCACCTCTTTTAGTCTTCTTTTCCGTCAAGAGATTAAATGATGTTCTGCAAAAACAAATATATCTCTCATATCTCTCATTTTGCCTAGGAGCCTTTTCAGGTTTTCATCCTAGCATCTCTTTTTGTTTTTCCATCCTTTCCAACTCACTCATTTTTTTATAAGCCCTTTTTGATTAGATTGCCCATTTTTGGGTTTTCAACCTAACTAGCATTTCTTTTTTTTCTTTTTTTTTGTGAAAAAAATAATGCAAGTTACAAGGTAGAAAAATTAATTGCGTACCAATGTGTGACTCCCCCTCACTTAGCTCGGAGCACTGTCCCTAGTGCTCGTTATCGCCATCACTTTTTTTTGGGTTTTTTTTGAAGATATAAAATTGTGGTTTGGGAGAGGGGTGAGTGTAAGAGTTTATGGATTAGAGGGTATGTGGAGTAAGAGAAAAGTGATGAGAACAAGATTATGATTGTTTTGTGTGTGGGTTTGGTGGAGGATTTGGATAGATTTTTAAAGAAAGAAGGATATGGTTATGAGGGTTGGGGTGATTGGGGTGGAATTGGATGGTGTTTTGAAAGATTAAAGATGAAAAGAGGTGAAAAGGAGGTTGTGTAGGGGAAAGAAAAAGAAAAAAATAAAATAAACACACAATGATGTACCTCACTTGGGTTGCCTCCCAAAAAGCGCCTTATTTAACGTCGTGGCACGACACCATCTTTTTTAATTTCAGTCGTTTAGGCTTGGATCGTGATGATCCCTCTTCTTCACATTTTCACCCGAGTGACTCTTATAGAAAGGCTCAATTTGTCGACCCTTTATTTTGACAATCTTTCCAGGATCAAATATCCAGATTTCTATCACTTCATATTGTGAGAGTGAGGGTCCATGATTTTCACTTAGCATGGTCAATCGAAGGGGTTTTGATCTGGGTGGTATAAGAGGGAGTATGAAATGTTTGCGTAACTCCACCGTTATTCCCTGCATATTTGTGAACGAAGAGAAATCTAAATGATACTCACAATTGCTGAAGATTTCGTAGATGTCTTTGTCGTTCTCCACCCTTTGTGTTTCCCTTAGAGTCTCAGGAAATGGTGGCATGATTTCAAGAATGGCCGGTGGTGGAGTTGAGTTTTGAGGTTCCTCCTCCGGTTGAGCTTTCTCCATAAGCTCCTCTTCTTCCTCCTCCTCGCCCATGTGGTTCACAATGCTTGGCATTTGTTTCAACTGATTGTCCAAGTTCTGTTCGTTGGACACTGTTTCTTGCGGGCATTGTGACATTTTTTGTTGCATATTCGTCACATTGATAGTGAGAGCTCGGATCATGTCTTCAGTGGACATGCTGGAATAAGAACTTGAGTATGGGTTATATGTGTTGGAGAATGAATCATACCTCTCTTGGAAACCAACATCATTCCTTTGTTCAAAGTATTCTTTTTGAAGCTCTGGGCAAAAATCCGTAAAATGCCTGTGTGACATGCAAATGTTGCATGTATGGACATCTTGAGATTTTGAACATGAAATAAACTCCTTTATTAGAGAAGTCAAGTCGGAAATTTGACTCTCTAGGGATGATGTGTTGGTATCCATATACTCATGAAAGCTCAGAAAATAGAAAAATAAGAACTCTTTATATTTTTAGTTAATTATTTTTTTTTGATTTTTTCTTGAAATAAAATAAAAAGAAAAATAATTGCCTTTCCCCGGCAACGGCGCCAAATTTGACGTGCACTTGTCGTGAGGTGCACTCAAAATAAATATCAATACGACACTAATACGTAGTATAGCGAAGTAAGGTTCGTATCCACAGGGAAAGGAATATTTCTCTTTTTAATTAACTAGTAATAAAGGGGGGTTTTTAGATTTGATTTGATTTAATTAACACTAAGATGAATGACTTAAATGAGTTTAATTAATGAGAAGAAGACTTGGCTTTGCTTTTATCCACTTAATGAAATGTTCGTCGATCCCGGTTATATCTTTAACTATCTTCCTCTCGAATACTCAATCGAAGAGTATATCCAGTTCATCGAGGGTAGTTATTAATAACGAGAAGCGTTCATTAATAAAACTTACTATCGAGTCAATATAGAACAAGCGCAGTATATTAACTTGATAGTAGCAATAAACTTAAGATGAAAACGATTGAGATTGATAACCTCAACACAAGCGGTTTATTGGTTTAATCAATATAATTAATTCCCCTTAGATTATTAACCATGAGATGCATGCATTAATAATCCAAGTTTACTACCATGAAAGGGCCGAATTAATAACAAGCGTATTAATCGACCGATTCTAGTATTAATTAATATATGAAACAAAACTAGTCGATCCTTTAAGTAATGTTCAAAATATTAATATGAAATATGAATAGGAATTAATTAATACTCAAGAGAGAATATTAAAGAAGATGAATCCTACTATAGTTAATATCAAGATGTTAACTAATTGTCATCTTAGTAACACTCCCCAATATTAACGTAGAGGAAGAAATAATTATTACTATAACTAATGTCAAGATGTTAACTAATTGTCATCTTAGTAACACTCCCCAACATTGATATAGAAATAGTATTTAAAGGAAGAATTAATATTCAAGGAAGAAGATTAAAGAGAATAACTCACAACTTACAAATTCATTAAGCTTCAAAGTAGCAAAACCAAGATGGAAGAGTTTAGCTCCTCATTTGGAGACTAAACATGATAGAAAATATAAAGAAAACACTAATCTAAACTGAGCTAAAGAGTATATGTGAATTGGTGATTTTATTGTGAAGGAAAAGGGTGTATTTATAGGCTTTTGGGAGCTGCAGGGTCTGATACCCGATCGGGTATATAGGATACCCGATCGGGTATCTTAGGAAATTGCCCAGAAAGTCACTTTTCTGGGCATACCCGATCGGGTATGTCGGCATACCCGATCGGGTATGTGACAAATCTTCAGGAAAATTTGCTCCCACGATCATTTGTTCCCGGATTTGATTTGGACAATCGAATCAAGTGAATACCCGATCGGGTATAGGCAATACCCGACCGGGTACATGAGTATTTTTTCCAAATCAAAATCTTTCTTGTCTCCTTGCACTTTCCTTGATCTTTTAAGGTCCAATCTTGATCCCTTCGATGATCTTTGACCTGTTTAGCTCAGAATAATCCTAATCTAAACAAATTACAAATAAAAATGAAAATAAAATATTACACCAAAAGTGTGTAATTTCCACAACTACAACTAATAAAAACTAGTTAAAAATACAAACATACAATCGGAAATTACATGAATATCATATTGCCTATTGGAAGTGCTTATGCCTGTGTTTTTAATTTGAGTGATGGTTACTATAACAACACTCTCAACATATGCTTTTGTTCTTAATGATTAGTATAACAAAAAGTGTCGGTACGGTGTTTTAAGTGGCAGAAGGTCCCAGGCATGAAATAAGGTACACCGACACTTTTTGTCTGTGAAATTCACAAAGTGTCGGTACGGTGTCTTTAAGTGGCAGAAGGTCCCAGGCATGAAATAAGGTACACCGACACTTTCTGTCTGTGAAATTCACAAAGTGTCGGTACGGTGTCTTTAAGTGGCAGAAGGTCCCAGGCTTGAAATAAGGTACACCGACACTTTCTGACTGTGAAATGCACAAAGTGTCGGTAAGATGTCTTTAAGTGGAAGAAGGTCCCAGGCATGAAATAAGGTACACCGATACTTTTTGTCTGTGCAATACATAATCTATCTGTGTTCGAAATTGCAGTGTCTGTATCCCCGGATGATTTGACTTGGAGTTGTCTGTGAGTTGTTATGTAAGATTATCAAAGTGTGTGTGAGTTTCTTGTGTGAGATCTATACAAAAGTGGTAGGTTATTGAAGCTATTTGGTGTTTTTGTGTCGTTCATATTGTTGTGTATGAAATGAAACTGTTTGATTTGTTTGTGTATTTTCTTAAGTGCTTTTTGTTGGTGTACACAGACAATATTTGCTTTGTAAGTGTTTGTGCACCAATATGGTTTGAGTTGTAGTTGTTTGTGAGTTGTTATGTATGATTAGCTAAGTGTGCTTTTTTGTGTGAGTTTTATACAAAAATGGCAGATTGGTGAAGTCATTTGGTTTGTAAGTGTTAGTTTGTTAATATGGTTGGAGTTGGAGTTGTCTGTGAGCTTCATATGATTTGTCTGTGACATTCATATTTATGTCTGTGAGCTACAATTAGGTTTTTGTGAGATTTATAGTACTTGTTTGCGGGCTTCATAAAAGTTGTGTGTCTGTTTCTTAAAAAAAAATGTTTGTCAGCCTCACATTTAGTTTGTGCTCACAAACAATTTTTTTGTGCTTGTACATATCTGTCCATAACAGGTGTCTGTGCTCACAGATTACTTCCTATCATATGCATGTCTCCATAAACAAGTTTGTGTTTGTCTAACTTTTTACATATTTATTTACGTTTGTAGGAAGGTGATTCGGCTTCTGAGAAAAATGATGATGAGGTGCGACAGATGAATGACAACGTCCTCATTGATTATAACAACATCTGGTGTCTGTGTGTACAGAAAAATGAAGACATTCTCATTGACTTTACCCACAAATATTGTAATAAATGTATTATTTATATAGATTTGTGTAGGTCACCTACAAAATGTATGAAAGATGTATGTCAATATTGTAGTTCAATAAATAGAACTATTTGATTTTGTAAACAGATGGATACAATCAACTTGGGCAAGTGTTCAACGTTGTACAACACAATACAACCAATAATGTACATCATTATACAAGATGAAGCATTTCACATTGTTATTTATGAGCTTCATATGAATTGTCTATAAACTTCTTGGAATTGTTTGTGAGTAATATTCTTGCATGTGAATACATTCGCTTCCAGGGCGCTTTAGGTAGGCTACAACAACGAGGAGTGAAATATTTATGTACTTGCTATTATTATGTCTACACATATGTTTGTGACTTGTTCATATTGTCTGTGTACACCGAAAGTAATATCTCTTAGTTGTTATTATTGTATGTGTGCACCGACAATAGTATCTGTGTAGTTGTTATTACTATGTGTGCACTGAAAGGACTTGAAATAAATAAAAGAAGGGTGATTGGTAGCATTTGCACACACACACACACACACACACACATATATATGAATGTGTTGTCTCTTAAATTACACTAACACATATGAATCTTAGAGACAACAATATTACTCGCACACAACTATTTGAATTTCACAAACAACTACCATAAAGCTCATAGACAATGATATGAACGTCACAGGCATATCATATGAAGCTCACAGACAACTCCAACCCAACTCCAACCATGTTGGCAAAGTAACACTTACAAACAAAATAGAATCATAAATCTCTCACTTTTGTATATAACTCACACAACAAAAGCCGTTACATTTCGGTAATCTTACATAACAAGTTAACAACTCAAACCATATTACTAAACTCAAACCATATTGTCACACAAACACTTACAAAGAAAGTACTGTCTGTGTACACCTACAAAAACACTATTACTCTGTTCACACCGACACTAGTTGTCAGTACAATCACCCAGGAGCCTTTCATTCGCCTGTGCACACCGACATATGTACATTTTTTGTAGAAATCATAAACTGCATCTTTTGTAGGAGACTTCATGCCTATCTTTCGAATTTGTTCACATTCATCACCATTGTTATCTCCATCTGTTCACATAATCAAATAATCATTTTACATTAACTCATTCATAGATACAACATTCATCTTTGTAGGTATACATTATAGTAGTAGGGTATATATTAACAACATTCATAGATATAAAAAAATCTTGATAGGTATACATTAACAATATTCATAAATCAAATACGTCTTTGTAGGTATACATTAACAACATTCATAGATACATAACTCATTCATAGATACAACATTCATCTTTGTAGGTATACATTAACTCAATGAGAATTTCTTCAGTTGTCTATACATACCGACACTACTCTGTACACAGCGACATTAGTTGTTGGTACACACCGACACTACGTATGTAAGCTGTCTGTGTGTGTAAAAGAAAATACCTCCAACATCTCATTCGTCTTCTCCCTGCTATTCTCTTCCCCGTCACAAATGTAATCATCCTGGCTATCAAATATCGGAACTTCGTTGACGCCTTGTGTCACATGTCCACCACCTGTCCCACCTAAGTCTTCGTCCCTAGCGTTGTTTGGACCACCATCTTCCTCGTTCACAGCCCACCATTTCCATCCTCCGTCGCAGCTCTATCTTCTTCGTTCACAACTTCTGCGTTTCTTCCATTTCCGTCGTCCGTCATAGGTATCTTCCAAACCTCCGTCATTTCCGGTCACTTCTCCATCCACCATCAAATATGCTAGAAAACCATCCATTATATCTGGAAAAAGAAAATTAAAAAACAAAGAGAAAGGTGAGAAGCAGAGAACGAAGAGAGGGATGTGGGAGAGAAAGAAAATGTGCGTGAGGGATGGGGAGGGGAGGGCTGTGTGAGAGGAGGGGTAAAAGGAAGCAGTAAAAAAGAAGGTTTATATATGGTGTACCCCATAGTGTAACCCAGGGTGTACACCAAGACTTTTTCATTGTTCCACTCTGACCAACGGTTGTTTCACGGCAGAGCCACCGACTCAATAGTCAATGATTATGCTTCGAGTCTGTCAACCTTCGCCCACGACTTCTCAGGATAAACAAAATTTACACTACAAAAAAGTAACGGAACAGGATTAGCACGAATATTTGGCAGGAATTTGTTAAAATAAATAGGGGATTTAGCACGCAATTGTTGATAAATCTGATTCAATCCAGTTATTTTTTCGTAGTGCTATATTTGTGATGAATGAAGTAAATTATATGTAATACCCGGAGTAATAAATTAAAGCAGTTTCTTTTCCTACAAAAAACCAATTTCATCACTGGGAGTAGGTGATGTGCGTGGGACTAAAATAATAGTTACCATATTCGCTATTGTAATTGAATATGTAATTTATTTATGTATAAATCAATCATACTTCTCATTTGTATTGAAATTCTGGATCCGAATCAATTAATTAAGTTCACTTTTTGGTATTTTAGATTTTGCATTTGGATAGATTCCCACCGTCAAACCTGGTAAACATTTTTTTAAATACTTTCATTACATAATTAACATTTTGGGACAATTCCAAAAAATCATGAGAAAGGAAACAAGCAAAAAGAGATCGTTTAGAGAAATGGAAACAAAACGTTAGAGAAAGTGACGAATAAAGATTTTTTAGGGTTTTTAATGTTTGTTCCGATTATAATTGTTGTTTTATCTTTTCAGTTCATTTTTAGCATTTTTTCACATCTAGACATACTACCTTTAAAATCATTAGGTTTATATTATTCGAGACATGCTGACGACACTAAAGTCATTGGGATCCTCAAATTAAATTAATACTCCCACTAATATCATTGTATAGTAAGGTTCGTATCTAAAGGAAATGTAACTCTTTCTATAAGAGTGCAATAAAAGGGAATTTACGTTTGTTTGAACTTGAGAGTATTGAAACACTAATAGGACCGAATTATGTGATTTAATATCAATGAGATAATAACTCGGTTTCATTAATTTTCATTGAACGAAATGTTCGTCGATCTCGGTTATAACTTTAAGTATCCCCTATCGAATACTCAATCGTGCATTATTTTCTATTCATCGAAAGTAGTTGTTTATAACGAGACATGTTCATCAATAACACTTACTACCTAGTAAAATTAGAGCAAGAGTCTTATATTGTTCTGATAATAGCAATAAAACTTTAGATGAAATAGACTGAGATTGACAACCTCAACCCAAACGGTTTATCAGTTTAATCAATATGTTTAATCCCTTTTAGATTGTTAACCATGAAACACATGCACTAGTAATATAAAGTTACTACCGTTGAACGCACTCAGTGGATAACAAGCGTATGTGTTGATCTATTCTAGTATTATTAATTAGTATGAAAACATTAACTAATTGATAATTTTAAATGCTCAAATGTTAACATGGAATATGGAATATCAATAAGAAAGTAGTTAATATTCAAAAGAGGAAAAATAAAAATAAAAAGAGGATGATTGAAGAAAATAAATCACAACTTACAAAACATAAGTTTCAATGTAGCAAAACCGAGATCAAATGTCTACTTATATTACAAGAATAAACTCTATATGATAGAAGGGATTGATTGGTATGCAAAATAGGAAGGAAGATACGTTTTTATAGGGAAAATGTGGCGGTTGGGTCGGATACCCCGACCGGGTATCCTTAGCAGTAGCTACAAAAGTGCTACCCGACCGGGTCTAGTCATATTAGACCGAGTATGTCAATATACCCGACTAGGTATAAGACCAAATCTGGTTTTCCCATCCTCTCTTTGTTTGATATTGTATTATCTCTAGGTCAAATTATACCCAATCGGGCATATTCTGAAGACCATATGTTATACCTTTGATTTCATGTGTTAAATTTTGTAGTAATATAATTAAAATAAATAAGGATGTTTTTACTTGTACTATAATTTGCTCATCTGATCTGATCTGGTCTAGTAAATGTCTGATTTATGTGTATTTTATAACTATGAAAGTCTGGTCCGGTCTATTCAAGTCTAATCCGGTTTGGTCTGGTATGTTTAGGTCTGATCTGGTCTAAGATTGAAAACAGTTCAAGTAAGAAACATTTAAGAAACATTCTAACTCCGAAGTTACTTTGATTTCACTAAAATGGCTCGATTTTGTTCAAGAGGGCAATTTTAGTTTTCCACATAATCTTTTTGTTTAGTTAATAAAAAATATTTTTATAATTTGATAGATTCTATCAATTCACTCGGGATCTAAACGAATCATGTCAATTTAGTTTTTTTTAACGACGTCAATTTTAATTAAAAATCGAATCAACTATGTACTCCATTCAAAATTTTCCAATCAAGTTTTATACTCCACTAAAGAGAATATGGTTATAGAGTACTCCGTATAATTTAAAATACCATAGCCCACTACCGTATTTTGCCCTAGACAGAGATGGACATCAAGGAATGGTCTCCACTCTCCATTCATTCTCAAATCCCAACCGCCTCTTATTCTCTTGAAGGTTCGGGTATTCCTTTTTTTTAATCTTCTGCTTGATTTGCAATTATCATCTGCTTTCTCTTTCTAATTGGGTATACACTTAGATCTACCAATTGTTGAAGATTATACTCCGTATTATTTTGATTTAAGAAAATTTTAAGTTTTATAAAAAGAAATCGCCACACACATTAGTGCATGAACAAGGTGAATTGTCTTTATTTCTCTTCCATTAGAGCAATAATCTTCATTAGGAAAATTTTCTATTGAAGGAATTAAAGTGTTTCCAAATTTTCAACCCTGATATTTCATGAGTTTGCTAGGATTTATATATAGAGCAAGCAATTTTATGAATTTTGTAGTTTGATCTTCTTATTCTTACTTATTATATGTCCTAATTAATACTCCGTACATATTTAAGATATGTATAAATACATGAATTTGTGTTGGTCCCGATTGATGTGGTAATCAGTCTAGAGGGGGGGGGGGGGTGAATAGACTGATTGGTTTTTCAAAATTTCTCCAAGTCCAAAATGACTTATCAGAGAATGTCTGATTCTGGTGACAGAGAAAGGCTGGTTCTGATAACAGAACTGGCCTTGGCAGCGGATTCTGATCTGTCCGGGTAGCCTCAGAAACACTAAGGCAAATGCCTTTCTG